CCAGATTCAATTAGTGTGTCGTTGGGCATTCCTTTCTCCGGGTTTGGAGATGACACGAAAGTCTGCTCCGTGTACCCACGCAGAAAACTGGTAGCCAATGCTTGTAGCCATTCGCGATTCACTAAATTGGTGCAGGCATTAAAACTTTTCCCAAAAATATATTTCCACCATGTTCTTTCTGAAATAGCATAATTATTGCTTGAATTTGGGTAATCTAATATTTGTGAATTTGCTTTGTTACCATAATGTGGGAAATAGAATCCGCTTATGATATGCCCATTTCTAATATCAGTTATAAATAGGGTTTTATGGGCTCAAAATGTTGGTACAGTCAATTCTATATGTATATGCATATCTCCTATAATCCTTCTTATTGCAGACGGTATCGACAACAAACTCAAAACTAAAAACCAATGGTACTCAAGAGGTTCCCTTGCGTCTAAAGGCAAACTTTGCGAGTGATGAGTTATTCCTAATCATGACAGTACTCAACCGCCTTGTCCCCTTTGCTTTCGCGTCCATTCTTCAGAGTCTGGCATTTATTCACCCCAACAATGAAGACGGTGACGAGTTGACTCTAGATGATGTTCAAGGAGTAAGCGATGATGAGTCTGAAGGGGAGAAATCAGAACGAGGGGTGGATGGAAAGAAGCTTACTTCTGGTAAACCAAAGTTTACTTTCATTCCGTATGCTCTTAGGTATAGATGCTTGGGTCAGAAGGCTACAGAATAGGAAGCCAATAGGGGATTTAGTTATGATAGTATTTTAATGAGTTTTGGTAGGGAGAAAGTAAAAGAGAGAGAGGATTACAAGAAGGGGAGTTGAGAGAAGTTGTAGACTGAGAGAGAAATTAGTTCAAAGACAGAAGTAACGTCAATTTGTGCCCCCCCCCACCCTTTAAAGGAGTTCCGATTGACGTGTCGATGTATACTTTACGATGATGGCGGTTTCGACAGTCGTAACTCAGTTGCGCTAATCACAATCGGTCATAAATTTCTCATGAAAACGATCATGAGTGTAAGCCCTTATTTTGTGAACAACTGTTAAGCAATTTGCATTTTAACTTCGATTAATAATTACAGCATAAGAGTGGAGGTGTTTTGCGACTATAAAATTATTATTTATTTATTTATTTATATCAAATGGCAGGCGTTTTGATAGTTATCATTAGCCCTTTAGCTGACTTTGGGCTTCACAGAGAGGAGGAGGAGGAACATCAAAGTGACAAAAGTCGAGAGGGGGCAGAATAATGATTCATAGATGTAAAATAGACAGACAGACAGACGCAAAGGCAGGGAAAAGGTAAGGTGAGCACTGTGAAAGGAGTCGAATATGACATACAGTGAGGTCATGGTAGTTTGAAATCAGAAGTCGACTGCCGGTTAATGGACTTTTTTGCATATGAGTATACGTTGCCCAGGGTGCACCATGTGGAGGTTAGTCTTTCGCACAGCCCGTAATTTAAACATTTTCACCAGGGAAATTGGTCAAATAACAATCGATCATGAGAAGGGCTTGAACTACACCATAAGCATAAACTTAAATGTCCACTGAACAATTCTCAGCCTGAAATGCGTAATTTTCAAACTTAGCTGCTACCATCAAATTCTAATCAATAAAAAGATATTGCGTAGTAAGCTTCGAATCCTTACCGACTTTTCATGACCATACTCACAAACTTTACTACCTTCTCTTACAGAAACTTTACCCATTGAACTTACATAGGTAAAGCGAATAGACAAGTGAGAAATCTCCTTCGTTGGAAGGATGTTATAACTTTGTTTTGGCAAAGGGATTATTGGGTCGATTTTGTTCTTTACACAAGCCAATGCAAATGACTACAACGTACTGTCGTTGAAAGCCCCTTAAAAAAGCCCCCCCCCACCCACCCTCCTCCATTCCCAGGTAACACTAATGTTCAGAGGAGAAAGAAGCATCAACAATGGCGAAGGCATACAAGAAACCTTCATTTAAAGATTGCAATCGGAACATTTTACTCGCCTAGTGCTGTGTGCGTTTGAATAATGGGCAGAAGGCAATAAAATCTCACTGGCTGACCAACCACCCACAGTGTCCATGTCCAACACCCAAATACAGCAGCCAACTGGTAGAACACTTATGATAAGATCAACAATGCCCTAACCCCCTTTTAGTGCACTTCTTAATAAAGTGAGTCACTTAGAGAATGACTTAATTTAAAAATAAATGACTTTAATCAAATATATATTCTACAAGACATTATCTGGAAGGCATCGTAATTAACTACCAGATCACACTAACTATAGCAATCCAAGTTAGATCATTGAAGCCGAGTAACAAAGGGACTAAAATGTGCTCAAGATAACAAGGATTTCATAAGGTTCCCAAACTCGTAAGATTAAAATTAGGCAAGATGAATCCTGGCAAAGTATCTTCATGTCCGAGTTACTTATTCGAATTAATGGACCATTAATTAGACCGGTCACCCATAACGCTCACTCTTGATCTTATTATGAATTATTAATTGCTAGATCTTAAAACTAGGACACACTAAAACAACTTGCTTTCATGCAGCATTACTTGGTAGTGATTAATAACATTAATGCCCAATCCAAACTCTGTTAGACTATGATACTTCCTGGTGTTCTACTCCCATGGTAGATTAATGTTCAATATCCCTACCAAGTAGAAACGCCATTTCAATAGCTCTTACCTTGATCAGACTTAGCTAACTGAGTTGGTCGTGTAATTTACAACGATGAATATCGCACATCAACATTCATATAAATAAGAGAATTCAAAAAGGAAGGTTGAAGTTAATTTTTCACTTATAAGAAATCATTAGTATTCCAATAACAAAGATTTGAGAAAAACAAACCAATAAGGATTGGATGGTAGCAGTAATAGAGGAGGGAGGTAATGTTTTTTTTTCAGGCACCCATAAGAGAAAGGAGTTATTAGGTGATGTGTAGTAATAGCGAGATTTGAGCAGTAGTTAATTGCGAATGGATGTCAGTGTTCCTGTACGCAGAACAGGACGAGGAGGGAAAGGTGTTGTATCCTCTCGTGCTTGGGGAAAGTGATGGAATGAAAGAGAAAAGGGGGTGGGGGATAGAGACGCAGAGGAAGAGAGTTGAAGGAGGTGGTGAAGTGGTAAAAGTGGCTTATTGCGCCTTCTGTTGTGCAACTGCCTCATTCATATTTTGAGCTAATTTCCTTCTAGCCAACTCTTCATCAGCACTGTGGTAGGAACGCATTGAATCTATTATCGACTTTGAGGTACCAAAGTATACATCATTCAGAGTAGACCTCATTTGATTCTCATGAGACTAAAATAATTGCAAAAAAACTTAAGATTCCAAATCAATTAATTGCTAATGGAAATCCAATAAAATAGAATGCGAAAAAATAGATTTAACTAGACGAGAAACGTCAAATGCGATAGGGGGGAACTTTACCTCAACTAAGGTACCGATATTAACAATATGCTGCTTTCGATCAGGAAGGGGGAATTCACGATCCAAAACGCGACTAAGATGACCACTAAGCGTAGAAGCTCCGCAATCAGAAGTGTTGGTCTCAATCCACATAATCACTGTGCTCGTCAATTTGTAGTGAGCCGACTTGGCAGTTGGATGTTCCTAAAGAATAAAATCGGTGATTGGAAAGATGTTAAAAAATGATATTTATTAAAAAAAACAAGGAGTGCAAAACGTACAAGAACTTCAACTACATGTACTGACTCCCAACATCCACTGGCTGAGGCTGCGTTTCCAGACTTCTTAATGAGTATGGCCATGGCGAAACCCTGATCCAAATCCCAACAGTAAATAGAGGAGATTCCGCCCTCAAAATACCTAAATTAAGAAAAATATGTGGGTTTACATGTAACTCAGAGGGAGAGTAAGTAAAATGTATTAGAATTTACATTTGGCGATATTGATCAAAGGCATTGTTGGCATCGATTTCAAGAGCTCGAAGTCGTTCTGAAGGAACCACCCCATCTTCAAGAGGAGGATCATAAGTGTTCGTCCAAGGGGATCTGTATGAGTCACCATCTCGGTTGAAATCTGAGAGAAGATAATCACGACCAGCTTTTGCATCATGTTTGATTTTCATCGGCTGGTCGACAGTGCTGAGAACAGACTCTGAGATTTGAGGGCAAATGTCGAGGACACATTGGAGAACATGTTCAAACTTTTGAGGAGGCATACGCCTGAGGAGATCCAGTGCGGAATTCAATTGATCACTCTGCTATAAATGGATGATTTTGCATATGACTACTTAAAATTATAAGTGAAACGCCATTCCCAAGCATGAAAGAGACAAGCTCGCGAAAAGGCAAATACATACGTAGCTTTCAATAATATGGTTTGACAAAGCAAATAGTGAAAATTTAAGTAAAATACAGGCTATTGAAGCTAAAGAAAGACGCATTTATATATTACCAAGATTATCCTTCATATATGATGTAAGGGAAACAATGGAAACCTTCGCTCCACAATCAGAAAACTCCCAGCGCTACATTGACTGCGTCGCGTAAAAATTAATATAAAAAGATTTCAATCAAAATATCTATCCAAAATGAAAGAAACATAGCTAATATCATCAGAAAAATCAAAATTGAGCGAAAGTTCAACACATAAGATAAATAGAAAGAAGGATAAAAATTATCACAAGAAGCAAAAATCTACTCACTGAACCCATCGTTAAGCTTCCGCAAGGTATTCGAAACTGGCGGGAGCCTAATTCAATTTGTGATAGGCTACTTAAATGCGAATATTGCTACCTGAATTTATCATTTATATGGGTAATTCTTTAAATAGGCTATAATACGATATATATTAATACATATTCGATTAATTTAAAGAAAATTATAAATATTATTTTATTTACACATAAATACTAATCTTTATTTGTAATTTTCACTGATTCATACAATTTTAGATTAATTACTTTTAGTACATCCTACTTTAATTTATTTTCTAATTATGTTTTGAGAAACATTTTAAAGTCTTTTTAAAGACTACTTATAGAAATCTGATATTTCGTCTTAGTTGAACGTAATTTCCAATTACCAAAGTCTTTCTTCGAATATATTTCTGCATTTTCTTGTATTTTACGCATTTAAAGTATTTTTCTATTTTTACTTATAGAAACGAGCTCTTCTTTTGCGTTAAATGGGTGACGTCGTTTTTTGTCACTTCACCCAATATTATTATATTCCACGCATCTTTCAATGCTTACTATATGATCTTATATAATTCCGTCCCTTTTGATACTCTCTAAGCGAAATCAATTATATAAATTTATTAACTTTTTTCTACACAATCATCCATACTTAAATGGATTAATCTATTTTTCTATTGGTCACCACAAATCTCTGGGACTTCATTATCTCGAAATCCCTGTAGCTCTTGAGATGCTTGACCTTGCTGCGAACCCATAACTGTTAATAAGATTTCTGTGGTACCTGAATTGCTTTATCCATGTTAAGTTTTACTAAGTGTCCCAAAGTGGTTTTTATTAATTGGCTAGATGATCCTATCCTATATAAGCGCTATCTCTATTCAATGTCCCCTATCAGCGATTTGCGGTATCATTCTATCTTTATACCATAATTCTTCTCCATGAAATTATTAAAAACCTCTTTTATAAGCCCATTCATGCTTACGTTTGACATTCATCTGTTAGAACGGTGCTCCATCATTCGACGTTCAACTTTTCTCCAGCGTCACTTGCCCCCTACACATTTATTTATTAACCCGACAAATTTAACTAACTACTACGTCATTGAAATTGAGGCCACAATAACATCCTCAACATTTTAACCATCACAATGGTCAAATTTGTGGTTTATTATGCGAAGCAACAATATTAGATCTGAGTGTGCTTGAGCGAATAGTCGGCAATCTATGAATAGTTCTTTATCTTAATATTCAAATACTAGTTTATTTTAATTTCATTTACGAGTGGTCTTAGTGCTTTTAACCTTTCTACTTTATGAATACGTATATGTCGATCAGCAGTTTCAAACTACTGAATCGGTAAACAATGTCAATGTTACTTAAAGTGTCTAAGTATCAACATTTATGTTACCACGGTGGGGTGAGCGATAGACTTACCTCCACGTAGTGCACCATGCGCAAAAAAATCATAAACTGGCTGTTGACTTCAGACTTCAAACCACCAGGACCCCACTGAATGTCATATTCCACGACTTCCATAGTACACATCCTTCCTTTTTCTCTGCCTTCGTGGTTGTCTCTTTTATATCTGTGAATCACTCTTCTGTTCCCCCTCCTCACCTCACCTCTCCTCACGTTTTTTTTCACTTTGATATTCCTTCCCTCTGTGAAGCCTAAAGTCAACTAAAGGGCTAATGATAACTATCAAACGCCTGCCATTTGAAATAAATAAATGTTATCAGGCTTATATAAAACGCTTGGTAACGCAACAATGTAAACACTTGGTCCAAAACTCGTTCATTATGATCCTATTGGATCGATTTACATACTTAAATCGCTTCATTTACTTTAAATTGCCAAAAATTTAGCGTTTGGTCGTATGGTTATTTGTTCACTGTTCG